GAGTTAATATTTAAAAATGGCAATTGTCGAGATATTTTATTAATTAAGACATAAAAAAGTATAGTAAATGAATTCAAAATCTAAATGTTTTGTCATTTTTACCTTGTATCTTTACTTGCATAATTGCACACGTGCATGGAATGTGCCCTTTCACTAATTTCTCTTAAGAAAAAGAGCAAGAGGGAGGAATGGTGAGATATTACAGACGGCTAATAATGACAGTGTTTGATATCGATGGCATTTTTTGGAGTAATGAAATCAGCTCTACATGGTAGGTGTTTAACAGAAATACGCTGAATTTATTGTTTGGTTGAGCCATTTATCCAATAAACATTTCTCTCAATTTATGTGAGATCCATTTATCAGAGAAAATGTTAGAAGTGACGTTTTTCATTTTTAGGGACGTTTTTTTAATTGTTTGGTGCGTGCCGTTTACTAGTTGCACTGAGCTGTTGAAAAACATTTAAAACAGATTTTGTTCTTACCAAACATCCCCCAATAACATATGGATTTTAGTGTGAACCCCAACGTTATTACAACATGCAAAGCGACTGACCATGTTTAGTAGGGGTGAGCATGGGTCGATTCGATTCGATTTCATGGTAGAACCTGGAACTTACCCTAGAGGAGTCGGTTATAGGTTTTTGGAACTACAACATATCCCATAAAGGTCATTTCTAGGGTTGGTTCTGTCCTTGGTGGTTCCAAGGTCTACCCATGGAATATTATAAATTATAATATATTAATATATGGTTCAAAACTTTATCATTATAATTTAAATTTTATAAACATTACTCATTATACATATTCAAATATTAAAATGAAAACAGATAATCAAATCACTTATGTAACTTAAAGGTCAAGTGAATCCATGGCCTTTGTAACCATGAATGCTTGGGTTCAAATCTTTACATTCTCAAAAGTATTTTAGGGTTTAATTCAAGGCAAGTTCAGTTTCAAGACTGGTTCGACCGAGGCCAATCAAGGTCGGCTTGGATAGAGTAAACCCTAGACCTTGAAATCAGCTTGGGTGGGGGTCGGTTCCAAGAATTTGAAACCAGACCGTACCCTGTAACAGATTGGATAGGGTTGGTTCAAGACCAGTTCATAGTCAATTCCATTCAATTCCGAGTAGAACCTATCCATTTACTCAACCCTAATATTTAGTCACTCTGTACTAATTTGCATTTATAAGTGCAAATTAAATTGCATCAATGGGTGAGAATGGTTAGTGAGCGAATGGGCCTTCAACCCACAACCGGCCCAACCAAACCGCTTGCTACTCCTATCAGATGTTTTCACTTTACAGAGTCATTGATACGCTAAATTTAAGGAGATTAGGACATTTGGTAACTATTGTAAATTTGTAATGGGGCATATCGATACTTTTTTCAAAATCAAATCCTCTTTGTATCTTAATCTACAGCACTTCTTTTGAAATTACATGCTTTCTTTGGGGCCTTTTGAAATTGTTATTCTAAGAGAGGGAAAGATCACTCTATGGACTTGGACCTAACACATCCCATTATAATGTGACCCACACTGATTTATGAATGAATACCCACCCTCCAAGCTCCAACCTTGCAATGAATGCCTCTGTGTACATGGAATGGAAAGTGACATGACACATGTCCTTGACTCCATCACATGAACAAATTCTTTGTGAATTGTTTCACATAGAAACTTGTGAGTGTCTCTATACTTATTTGGAAAATTTCCACATGACATGTCTGTACTTTGTACCACTCTTGTCAAATTCGGGTCCTACCGGACAGTTGAACCGGTTATCCGATGACCCAGTAACTTTTCTGGGTCTTCAGTAAAAAAATACAATTTTTAGGGTTTGAATAAGCTAACCGGCCCGTTAATCAATAAAACCATGACCCAATCAATGAGGTAGCACTCCAGTCTTGTCAAATAACATTACTTAGTACGTAAGGCATGTGGTCCAATAAATAACTACGTTAGTACATAAGTGTAGCCATTACCATGTACCTGAAATGCGGTAATTTCAAATGAAGATGTCTTGACCCTGACTTCTAGCTTTAGACAATGCTTGTCCTTGCTACAAAGTATCACAACCCAATAATCATCTTTAGTTCATCATCCGGTATCTGGACTGTACATCTCCTAACTCCTCCACTAGGGATTAAAGAAGCTGAGATAAACAGAGATTTGTCTGCCCACTCTGGCTTGGATTTGTGAACTAATACCTGAACTCCAGCTCAATTTAAATAAACTTTTCTTTTTTTTTTATGTTTGTTTTTTTGGTATCACATAATAGTTATTACACATCACAGGGGATTAAGGGGTGTTGATAGAGCAGGGATACACCTGAAGTCCACTGAGGTTACCACGGAGAGCCTGCAATGAAGTGGTCTTTGAATTTAAGAGAAATGCAAAAATTTGAATAATGAGTTATAGAGAAATGCAAAAAAAAAATGATAAACTTTAGATAATAAACAAAAGAAACATGGGTGGTGTCCGAATTTTATAATCCTAGGTACATTCCAATTATCTCATTTGGTAGGATTCAGTATGGGTGGATTTGGTTGTGCTTTTCTAAAAATTTGAATGGGCCTGACTAAAATGCTCAAGCCTGAAGTAATGTAAAATGTTAATTGGAGCCAAGGTTCTAAATATCGATACAGGGCCGATACATAACGACATTTTGAATTTTGATTGGAGCCAATCCATATATCAGAGTTGCACCCCTAAAATTTGGAAAGGAAAATTTGTTTTATTTTCCCCCCTTCTTTCCTTTAGACTGTGTTTGGTTTGATAGAAAATAAGAGGAATAGAAAGTTTTGGGGAAGTTGTTATGAAATTTTGTTAAATTCAGTAAGAAAATTTCCCCCCAACTCTCTCTCTCTCTCATCAAACCAAACATAGCCTTAAGGCTTTGATTTGCTGATGTGGCAGTTGGAATAACCACTCAATTCACCCCCGAGTGGTATATATATATATATATATATATATATATATATGTAGTTCAAATATATTTTATTTGGAAATATGTGTTTCCAAAAAGTCATGATACTGGAAAAGTTTGACCAATCAAAACCCCACATGAATTTTGATAAATACCATCTATTGGTTACCACTTTTATAAACCCAATTAATTGGTTACAAGTTTTTCTGATTTCACGTCTTTCCCATATCATAGTTAAACCCATTTTATTTTGTAAATAGGCAGAATATATTTAGTCACACTCGAGGAGAGAAAAGAAGAGTTAAACTATACAAGGTTTCCCAACCTTTACCTTCAAACCAAACACAGCCTTAGTAAATATCCAATGAAAGGGTCCATACATGTCAAGGTTCAAAGTATCGATACATATCGGTCAATACGTATCATTCCGGAACCCCTCCAATACGTCCCTACAGTAGGTGCATCGGGGGTCTGACCAATTCAAGGGGTGGAGACCTAAACCAACCCCCCTGAACCGGTTGCAAAAAAAAAAAAAAACATAAACAAAAAACAATATCGATTCACCCAATATACGTGTGACCGTGGTCGCAAAAAACTCAACGACCCCCAGTGAAATGTAAACACGTCAGTGTTTGAAAAAAAAATTCAACTGAGGTGATATGTTGAATTTATTGCAAACACTGACGTGTTTACATTTCAGTGGAGGTTGCTGAAGTGTTCTTGGTCGCATTGAGACCGGATCTGCTCCTGACATACAGCGCCTCACACGCAGATTCTACCATGCATTGGGAATATCTCCCGTATTTATAAGTTATTATTCATGGGAGATATTTCCAATGCACGGTGAAAGTGCATGTGAGGCGCCCAAATGTGAGAAGCAGATCCTATTCCGGTCGCATTACCTGTGACTGAGACTGGATCTGCTCCTCACAGAGGGTGCCTCACATGCATATCCTACCATACATTAGAAACATCTCCTGTACTTTTAAATTATTATTCACGGGAGATGTTCCCAATGCACGGTGGATGTGCATGTGAGGCGCCCAAGTGCGAGGAGCAGATCTCGTCTCCCTGCGACCTCCCTGGGGAAGAGGCAGCCACATTAAAATTCTATTGATTAGCCAGCATCAAAAGGAAGGAAGGAAAAAATATTACAAGGGAGGACGTAGCCTTTCTTGCCCCAAAACGCAGGACATGTGTACACCTTACACTCCAACCAGCCCCTAATCTTAAGAACAAGAAAAAATATGTCAAAAAAGAAAAGCATATCAAATATTTATCAGACATACCTGAATTTGATTCAATTATGTTGAATCTCAAATTTTAACTTAGATTTCCTGATACCATTTACACCATGAGGCTATAGAAGGGAGTGATCCATCCTCAAATCTAACTGTATTAACCTTGGTGAAGGCGGGATTCAAACCCAAATCTCCAACCAGCCAAAGAGGAAAAATCAACACCACCACATGTCTAACTGTGAAATTCAGGCCTTCAATACATTGTTGTAGAAGAAAAAAAACACATTGTTGTAGCCCACCTCACTTCATCCAATTCAAGTGACATCACCTGATTTGGGAGTTTTTCAGGGGTTCGACCATATCTGAAAAAAACTTTTAACCAATCAATCGGTATCATAATAGTGGTAACTAATCAGGTTTTCATCAAAATCCACCCGGGGGGGGGTGTTGATTTGTCAATTCTATCTTATAGAAGTTGTCAAACTTAATACTGCAAAAAATTAATTGCAGAATCTAATGAACAATTGAAAATTAATGGGGCAAAGGTTTCAAAATAATAGACATGTAGTGTTGGATTTGAAATTGTTACGATCCATTTGTCCCATATTGATAGTATGGGATGCTAATGTGAGGTATCCCACATCGGTAGTATGGGATACTGTTGTGGGGTATATATGTGCTTGGTTCCCTCCCTCTAACAGCTAGCTTTTAGGGGTGAGTTCTCCTAAGACACATAACAGAAATGGACATGGAGATTCACGCTTTGCCCCAAAAAAAGCCTTCCATAACAGAGCACAATCCAGTAGAAACTCTAAAAGCAATGTCCAGGATCAAAACAAAATTTGCCGATGCCAACCATTTTCTACTCAAGAATTTTCAGAAATGCCTCAGATGAGGCTCATCAAAGGTAACAAGAAACTTATAAGATGCTAATTACACAGCTCTCAAATAAGTAAACATCTAGGGATGTGTTCTCATTGCTACAATGGAGAAAACCACTAGGTTTCGGTCCCAAGGGAAGGTAACTAATGTACAAGAGGTTCACAAACCAAACAGATGATTCGGACTAAAAGTCAAGAGTCCTGAAATGTGAAGCAGTAGCCTGTACGAGGAAAGAGCACATCCCAGAAATTGTAATCTCGAGCTTCTATCTCTGCAAGTGTAAATTTCATGATAAATTAGCATAGTAGAATAAGGGCCACTGCTTGGTGCAATGGTAAAATCTCAGACTGACAAGCATGACAAAATGGGTTCCAGTTCAAAAGCAGCTTCTTTGTGCAAAAAAATGCTGGAGGTTAAGGTCCCAGTTCACTCATCCTGAGACAACAGATCAGGACCAAAATTGGCTAATGGCCCATTTAGTAGAATTGAACTAACAGAAGTCACTATAAAACTAGGGTTAGGATCTTACATTTACAGGCTGTACAAACAACTATCGAAGTCAATGGGATCCCTGAAGCTTCTATCATCATCAAATATTAGAGCCTACCACTGCTTCTCGATTGAGAAGCTGGAAGAATCATACACCATGGTTTGTTGATGGTTCATCCTCGAGACCCTTGGTAAGCAAATCATAGTTGATTGATGCAAGCTGAGAGAGATTCTGATCACCAAATGTGAAAAATCAGTGGGAAAGATTAAACTGTGGAAGATTAAAATGAGAAAATAATGAAAAAGAAGGAATACCAGAACATGCACAAAATGCTGAGGAACCATGATGAATTATGAAACTGTTCAAAATAATATGGCCAGGAGGGATAAAAAATCATACAAGGATCTGCTAGATGAACTGAATCCAAGCTAGCAGCACGTAACTGTCTGGCATGGTGATGCAGTTGCAACATTATATTATGGAATCCACAGTAATGTAGAATTCACAGTTGGAATTTTCAGAATTGGCTTGCCCATGTTGCTGACTGAAAGTCATTTTTGAAGGGTCCTTGGATCAAAAAATTGGATGACTAGGATTAAAAATGTAAACTAATCACAACTAACTCCCAGTCATTCACTAATACATTGATTAGACAAGTTACCCACTTCTTCTTCTTAACAGAGAAAACATTATTTCTTGTGTATGAGAAAAACCTAATGTTCACTCTCAAACACAGATAATGAACCCTATCACATATGCCTCACAACTCCCATCATCCTGGGATTCAATTACCAGTCTAAGAGATAAAGCTTCACCTTCAAACATGATGGCAGTAGAAAACAAGGCCTTTACATTTAGATTCATCTCAAAAAAGGTGGAGTGAAAAACTGCACATTTAGATTTTAGTCATTTACAAGCCAGGGAAAAGTTTTTAGTTGAATTAATTCATGATAAACTTGTCTTCTACCTTCTTTGCTCATCCAATTTCCTACCAGAAATAAATGTTGTTAATAAATTAATATAAACTCTCTGAATTTGGCAAGGCTTCAAAACTTTCATAAACACGTATAGTTATCCAGCTAGCAAGGAATGATTGCACACTTCTCCTTGCTACCTGGAGTACATGCCTAGTTGACTACATTACCAGATAGGCAGATAGCGCATGAACTTAGTGTACTCTATCGCATTAATACTTCAGAATATGCAAAACGATATGTTTTAACAAATTATACTATAAAAAATTGTACATGTTTATCCAGGATTTTACATTTTAAGACATGGAGACTCATAGCCCCATTTCCCCATTTGTGTCCATGTCCATATCCGTGTTTAAGCAGCATAAGTCTCTTGAAAACTTGCTGCAGTTGCCTTTTCTTTCTCTTTATTAAATCATATTACTCAAATTCCTTGAGAAATTGTAATTTGTAACATTTATAATTATAGGTATTAAGCAGAAAATCACATGCATTCACATTTTCTTTTAGAGTTTAGACTATGATTTCCTCTCAAGTTGTTTCTCTTTCTAACTTTCCACTCCTTTAAACAGTAATAACCATCATGCTCTAGCCATCACCATCACTTCATTAGTTATCTACCTAAGTAGCTCATCCCTGATGCCATGATGCAGGAGCTGAAGAGGCAAAATTGGAATTTTATGAAATTTTATGTATTTCTGTATTTTTGGATAGTAGGGATATTTTTGTCATTTTGCAATTTTCTGTGGGATCCAATGATAGGGTTTAACTTGTCTAGTTATACTTTGCTTAAGTTTAAAATTTTAGAGTCATTGCATGAGTAGGATTAGAGTTATTGAGTCTTCTTTGAACTGAAATAGGATATGACAGTTTAATTTGAGTCCTACTAGGATTATCAAGTCTAACAGTTTGACTCCTACAATTATTATGAGTTTAGAGTCTATAAATATGTATGGTCGTTTTACACAAAGGAAATGAAATATATTGAGTTTTCTTCAGCTTATGCTAACTATGGTGAGTGATTCCCATGCCCTAGAGTGATTCTAAGCACCCTGTGAGTGATTCCAGGTATTTTCTCTCTTATTCCTTCAAGAAGCCATTACAGCCATCAACAACCATAAAATTCTGATCAAGAAAACCATTCAACATTCTCTAAGGACTAGAACTGAGCTGGTCCTACATCATGCCATCATCTCCATCCCTTCTTATTCAACAAAACGTTGCTCCAGTGTGTTAATGTTTTATAAAATAACCCTAATGTCTAATAAATTTTTGAAGGAGCCAAATTGGCTCTATATTTTTTAACTTTTTTTATAGATTCTATGTTTTTTAACTATTAATCTCTTACAGTCATCTACTAATAATATTTCTAAAGAAATTTCCATATATTATTACTTTAATACCAGGTTTATGTGAAACAATTGATAGATGACTACTTTAATATGAGCTGCAGGCAAAGCAACCAAAGCACTGACTTTACTAGGTCAATAAAACATACCTTAAATGAAAAATTACTAAATGAGTAATTCACTGATGAGCTAGGCTCGAACTCAGCAAGACCTCCACATTCATCTGCCTGTTTATCATTGTTAATGAGGCCCAAAATACAAGTTAAGCCAACAAAAAGCCCAAATAAAATAACAATATTTTCCAGAGCTCAGGGCATATAAAATAATCATATTCTTTTCTAAATTTCTTTTGCAAGGGTCAGATACCTGTTCATCTTGACCGTTGCTTAGGCAACTGCTGCTGCCACTTATACTGCCACAGTCACTAGAATCCTCAAATTCACTGGCAGCATAAACACAACCATCTGATGGATTCCAGGAGTACCGACTTGTGAAGTAGCTTGTATCAAGAGCACTTTCCGAAGCAGGGACAAATGCAGCCTATAATAACCATGGTAATTCAGATGACATGGTCAATCTCAGATACATGGTGTCAATGGCCAGAACATTACTGTGGTGAGAAATAAGACAAGCTGCATGTAGTGTCACCTTCTGCCTGGCAAGTGTGTCCCAGTTGATGTCTTTGAAGAACACATGTTGCTTCACCTGGACCATAATCTCCAATGCTATTGCTTAGTGATTCTACCCAAGAAAACAATAGATTCAACATCTAATAAACAAGATTACCTCTGATGCGCCTTTAGCTCCAAGTCTCTGACCAGGATCTTCTGTCAGTAATCTGGAAATGGAACAGAAATTAGCTTAAGGTTACCAAACTAGAAAATTTATTGACAAGGATTTGCACACCTAGATTAGTCATTTCAAAGTGTCAAAGCCCCAATTGGAGGCCGATCAGGTCATTGGGAGAGGTCAGTACACTTGTACTGGCTGACTGAACAAGTAACCAGCAGCTAACATAAAAAATAAAACCAAAATTAAAAAAAAAAAAGGCTGAAGCTTATTGCAACCAATTTGGCAGTTCAATGGGCTAGCTGACCAGGTAAAACAGTTCAACCAGTTGGCTCAAACTTACTAATTCTTAAGGGAGCCTTATTATTATGTTACTATTTCTGTTATATATTATGCTTTCTGTTTTAAGATAGTAAGAGTAGAATGGTCAGCATAGGTCTTTTTCACCAATTAGAGGCATTAATGCCTTTCCAAGTTACTTGAGTTGTGGCCCCTTGTACATTAGCAGCCTTATACTGTTTTTTATAAAATTTTCCTTTTATCCCAAGTGGTGTTCTTTGTTGTTGTTGTTATTTATTTGGGGTCTCTTATTACATAAGACCCTAGATGCCAATCCTGCTTTAATACTATGAGCAACATCCTCCTCAATTTCTCCATTGCTATAACTTGTTAAAGTCAAACAAAGGTAATGAATGAGGTCACATTGAGATATTTCTTGGTTTCAATCCTAAGGTACCTTGATTTTCACCCCTATTATTATTAAGTTTGCATTGCATATATCTGGCTTAATCCTACTTATTTTAAAGATCTTGTTTTGAAGGTATCCATCCAAAAATCTAATTTTGCATTTAATCCTTCTTTACTTTTATCAATTCATACTACATTATCAGAAAACAACATGCACCATAGAACCCTCTCTTTTAGAGGTCAATGCAATCACATTTTGTAAAATGCAGTGGAAACCCTTTTTCTTTGAATATAAAAGAAAAACCCAAGCATTGACATCTTGGCTAAAAAATCCAAAGCAAGCAAAGAAGGTAGTGCTAGAGAATACATGGTAAGGTCCTATGTCATATATATTTTGTCATTTGCCTTTATGTTGGCCTAGCCTTCCCTTTGGGATTGGGCACCTTATTTCCAATTATTTAATAGAAAAAGGAAAAGAAAAGAACAATGTAAATAAAAGATAGAATTTTAAGTTTCATAAGCTTTTCATAAGTTGTGCTATAATAATTCCAGGAAATTTTTCAAAAAAGCCAATGAAGCAAACTAATAAAATAGAAAGGCTATTACTGATTTTTTTTTTTTTTTTTTTTTTGAGAAGAGGTAAAGTATTAATTCATTATAAAAGAAAGAAAAAAAGATCCATGTACAACCAGAGGCTATACAGTGAGAAATTACAAAAAACATTAGACCACTGTCCCATTTGTGATTACAAAAAGGTTTTCATACTGAAGGAGAGAATTAAGGGGAAACCGTCTCTGGATAGGTGTGTAGATGACCGGGATAACAGTTTCCCAACCATTTTCTGCCAGACTTCCTCCTCTTGACAACCTTTGCTTCAAAAGAGCCTTGAGTTTCTTTCCTGCCATATCAACCAGAAAACTGCTCCTCGGACCAATTGCCATAGAATTTTACCTTTCTTACCCAGACCATGGGTCCACCAGCCTTTTACAAAAGCTTCCACTGATGCAGGGCAGCAACTTTTGATGGCAAAAATGCTAAAGATTTTCACCCATGTTGAAGGGATGAGAGATCCATCATATGGATGGCCGAACCCTACAGGTAGGTTGGGCGAAATTTCAAAAATTTCTCTCTCCCATGTGGGAATCACATTCCCTATTTTAGAAAACTGCTTTTTCAATGATCAATCTTGAACCTAAACTAGACCAGATCTGAAACCAAAAGGGAGTGGAGGGTTATACCTGATACGAAGTAATAGTAACCTCCAATGAAGGTGTTCACGCCCAAGGATGAATCCAAAGACTGCTCCAGAGTGGAGATCGAACTGGTTATGGCGGCAATAGCAGGAGAGAGCAAGAGCAGAAGATAGAGGCAGTCCAACTGTTTGCTATCTTCTCTCTTGAATCAGTAGACTGAAGGATAAACTGGAGGTTCGCCCTGCTCCTCTATTTATAGCCTTAAAGAGAGGTTCTCCTAATCCCATTAGGAGTTTCCTAATCCAAATCTTGTATTTGGATCTAGACTCTCTTTAAGAGATAAGGATAATCCCTTATCTTATCTGCAGATAAAGATCAGCCCTCCTAATCTAATTAGGAGTTTCCTGATCCAAATCTTTATTTGGATCTGGACTCTTTGAGTGGATAGGGACAATCCCTTATCCTATCTACTGATCTAAATCCCAGAACTGCCCCTCTTTAATTAATCTCATTAAGCCAGTTCGAATTGGGCTTTAGGCCCATTAAGTCTATGTGCTCACTTAACCTCCAAACTGCTGCTCAGTTGGATATCCTTGTATTGCGTGGGACCCAAACATTGATCTACACATCAGCCACATGGTTTAGCCTAGCCTCTATTACAAGACCTGGCCGAATTCACTATAGGAGACAGTAAACCCCTGAGCCCATCACCATGAGCTCTTAATGGGCCCAACATTTACATTAAATGGTCCTTGGGTCAAGCCACCTTATAAAAACCCAAGGACTGTAGGTAGATGCAAGATTAGCCAATCAGGTATTACCCTAAATGGTTTTACACTTAACCTCTCAGCCCATAATGATCAAACACTGCCCGACAAGAGAGGACCTCTCCCTCGACTGTAAGGTACAGTGCTGCATTCTCTACTCACAGGGATCCCGGGATTTAATACCTTTTGCAAACATTTTGAAACCATAATATATATATATATATGTATATATCTATATAAATATATTTTGCAAAACAATTTTCAAGGTACAGTGCTGCAATGCTCCCAAGAAGCATTGCAGAAAAATACCAAGTCATCTACAAACTGTAACAAGGGAATCTCTAGTCTATTCTCTCCCACCATAAAACCCTCCAAAAACACCACCCAATATTGCTCTTAAAGTCAATTTCCCCAAAACTTCCATCACACAAAGAAATAGCAGGAGAGACAAGGGATTGCCTTGGCTTAAACCCCTTGAACTCCTGAAATGACCGCAAGCCATGCCATTAAGGCATTAACCAAAACCAAAAATGAAGGAGTTGTAACACACACCTTCATCCAATCCCTCCACATGGAACTGAAATTCATCCTCCACTTGGAACCAAAAGGCCATTACTGAATGTTGATCCTAGTCATCTGGGGTTTTGGGAGGGGTGGGGACCGGATACAGACCTAACCTTTAGTTAATGAAATAAATCCAAATAACATTATAGACATGAACATTATCGATAAAAAATGAAAAGCAAAACATTGTATTAGTATAAACCCATCCCATATCTTTCTGACACCCACTCTCCTTGACTATATTCCTCATTGCAAGACAAATGCAGCACAAAAGTTTATCTAAATCATCACCATCATCCAAGCCCTATCCCGACTATATGGGGTTGGCTACATGAATCCTGTTTTGCCATCCCGTTAAATTATAAGCATTTAAATCATTTCTTACCACTTCAAACCATGTCCTTTTTCGTCTACCCCTAGCCCTTCTAGTCCTTGCAACAGATCACTTCTTATGGGTGCAGCCAAAGGTCTTCTATGCATGTGACCAAACCATCTTAGTCTACTTTCTCTCATTTTATCACCTACTGGAGCTACTCCTAGGTTCCTTCGAATAACTTCATTTCTGAATCTATCCTTTCTAGTTTTTCCACTCGTCCATCTCAACATATGCATTCCTACCACACTCATTTTTTCAACGTGTTGTTTCTTGACTGCCCAACACTCTGCTCCATAGAGCATAGCTAGCCTTAGCGCCTTACAACTGTTTTATATAACAAAAATTTATCTGAATATAGCAATCAAATCAAAGACAATCATTTTCTTATAAGTAGCAATTAAGTAATGATATAACAAATTTCACATGTACTTATGTTCATCTCAAGAACAATTTGATTTTCAGTCAATGAACATTTTCTTGGATTGATGCACTCATTGGTTGAAACCATCTTATAAACACTATGATATTCAATCAGCTCAAAGAAAATAAATGAACAGGTTACAGCATATGAGTTAGAAAAAAGAACCAATCCAGAAAAAAATGGACTCTAGAAGTCCTTAGCATAAACAAAAAGCATTTGGTCGTTCTAAAATCTGGAATCTATTGCAAAAATACCTTGTTTGATTTTGTTAGGTACTGAGGAAGTTTAGGATTCCACACCCTTCTTTCACATGAACAGGAGAAAAGTAGGGTTCATTCTCTCTTTTTTATCTTAGTTAAGACAGAGGTCTACTAGGGCGTATCTACTGACTAGTAACAAACCAAATTAAACATATATGCAATATAGTTTTCCATACATGAGAATTATGATGGGTCATGTTAAGAAATGTGTGGTCAGGGTACTAGAGTCTTTTTATTACTGTGTTAAATAGAACAATATTATTTTTTGATAAATGTTAAATATAACAATATTGCAGATCTCTCCTTATTTTAATATTGCCATCATATGCTTATTAGGTCAGAACTGTCCTTTGCATTGTTTTAAGAAACATACAAATAGATCTGGCCACCAGGGGAAGAGTCTATCCTTTCTCTCCTCTCTTTTCTTCCATTCCTCTTCTCTTCTCCCTTTCTTTCTTTCTTTCTTTGCTTGTTACAGGTTGGATACCATTTACAGGTCAAAATTACACTTAAACCTTCATATGTCTTGTGCCTCAATTTGCAGACCTTACAAAACCATGTGTAAGCATCATGTTACATATACAACGGTATAGCTTTAATGCAGATTCATTTTACTTTTACCTCGCCTTGAGGTGTATGCTTTGTACCCTGAGAATTGAGACTATAGCCTTTTAGAATTATGATTACAAAAAACCAACAAGACAAAGCTGACTTTTAAATTTCATCTTAAAATGTGAACATGGTTTGAAGTTTTGATATATTTCTTTATAAATCAATTAAATATTTCCATTTCCATGGTACTGACATGAAATATTACTGAAAATGAAATACAACTGAGAATATTCTCCAATACTTTTTATTTATAAAAAAAAATCTCCAATACTTCAATATCTTTTATATTATTTTCAACAAGCTTTACTTCATTCGTTATTGTTGAGAGTTATGGTTGTGTAAAGAGATTCTTTTCTACTAGTTCTTATGTATGAGGTAATTAGGTCTTTCTACCTTTGTGATTTGTTTACCTTACAAGCTAATCGATTCAAGAGAAACCATTTTTCCTCTTTTTACCTGTTTATTGAGACTTCATGACAATTATATCAATATTAAAAGTTCAATTTATATGAACATAGATGTCATACAAATAATTTGTTTTAATAATATTCTTTTCTCTTTCATTATTTTTTCAAGTTTACCATTATAGATGAACCTTTCCATCTTATTTTCCTCTGTCCAATATTTTTAATTATATGTAATTTAGCTAAATATAATTGATCTTTTAATATTTGAACTCTAATATAAATGAGAAGTATAATGGCATAAGAAACATATACATATATAAATTAAAACATCTATTATTTGATCAAACATATAACCTGAACAGCAGATGGTTTTGTATACTACTTGATGATGTATAGTCACATAATAATTTTTTAAACCATCAAGGAAGAGAGCATATTGAAATGTTGAAATCATTTTAAAACCATACTTTTAGTCACTTTCTATTGATATAATTATTTAAAATAAAAGAGCACGTCCTTTTATCATTTCAAAAAATATCAACTGATAAAAAACTAGAAACCATAATTTCTAAATATTTTACAATAATTCAACCCAAAATCTCCAATTTTCCAATACAATTTAAGTGGTTGACATCTTCAACAGAAACCAACATCTTAAAACTTGCCTGTTAAACAATTTATGAGATGCCAGTTACTAGGGAATGAATTTATCAGGTTAGTTCACATACATTAATGATGCAAAATAGGATAAAAACATTTCATTCAGATTTGTACAAATTGTAGTGTCAATGTGCATCTTATGTGGAGTATCTCTATATGGACTGTAAGCAACCATACACAATTACTCATGTTAACCTTGGTACAAGGCATCTTATAACACATTTAAATAGTACAACAAGAAGAACAGATTGCATCTTACCTATCAATTAAATCTTGTGCTTCATGGCTTATTTCTTCAGGAACCCGGGGCCAAGGTATTTTACGATTGAGTATATTGTCGAAAATTGTCTAAAAGCAAACAGAGGAAATAAGAAAACGACCATCTTAAAGATGCAATTAAAAGCTTGTGCACTAAACCAGCAAAAAATAGTATAAAGAATCAAGTGCAACACATCTTGAAGATTCTACACCTACCCTATTTGAAGTAGGGTTTGGATAAATTTTTACATTTTTCTGTCAGTCAATTATTAATAATTTTTTTTTTTTGATGAATGAATATAATTTATTAAAACAGAAATATGAGGCAATACAGTAGACCCAAGAGGAGGCGCGAGTTGTTACCTCTTCTAACAAATTTTACATCAAACTAAAGCAGAATTGACCAGAATTAACCAGAACTAAAATTACAAAGCAGCCCAAAATAAATGTTCCCTTGAGGCCCCTTGCTTAGCTAACCCATCCGCTAAGGCATTTGCTGATCTTCCCACCCAATGAAAGGTAACAGCCATGCCTTTTGTGATCCAGTTGACTTTCCTTAGCATATCTCTATGCCGCCACATAGCTGAAGCTGGTCCTGTCAGCCATCCCACAACAATCTCAGAGTCCCCTTCAACTACCAAGTTCTGGACTCCTAACGCTTCCCACACATCACGAGCAGTCGGCAGGAACATGAATGGTTTTCCAACCACAGGATCCATAGAGTTGATCAGCCAGGCGGTAACCATAGAATTTTCAGAATGCCACTGCCTGTACTTTGGATCATCAGTGGCTGGCGGTTTTACT